CTACCCGGTGCCAATGGATCCTAACCCATATATATATATATAGAGAGAGAGAGAGAGTGTTTGTGTGTGTGTGAGTATATGTGTGAAAATTTAATGATATCATATGTCAAATGTTAATATTTATATTTCTTAATAATTTTCTATAGAATGCAAGATTAACCAATTCAACTGTTAATTTGAAAATTTTTATTAACTAAATAGAATAACTTTACAAAATTTTAATAAAATATAAATATTTTATTCCAATATTTTACTTTAACGTGTAATATATTTTTAAAATAAAAATTAATATTAACTTTTAGATAAACTACTTACAAATGTCTAAATATATAAAATTTGATATATATTATTATCGCTATAATATAAAGGATTTAATAGTTTAAATTCGTCAATTTTACATTATTTGAAAAGTTGTTAAAAAGAGTAAAAGGATAATATTTAATTGCTTATGTAATAGCCTCAATTTTATTGCCAATGTTTTTTTAAAATAGAAATTTTAGTGCAGGGATTCTCGCTCAAGCGAAAAAGGATAATATCACTGCAACTATCCTCTCGTCTAGAAGGGTCTCGTTCAGGCGAAGTCGCAAAAAAAATTTGAAAATTCTCTGAATTCATTCTCGCTCGAGCAAGAATATTAGAAAACTGAGTAAAACTATTGTCTAATTTTTTCGTTTAGGCAAAAAAGAGCTCGCTCAAACAAGAACCCGCTTGCTTAAGTAAGAAATCGCGAGTTTTGAGGAGTATTTAAGGGACTTCACATTGAGAAATTTCATTATTTTTCAAACCACATTTCCCTCTCATTCTCTCTGTTCTTTCCATCTTTCTTCTTAGAGAAAACCTCCTTTAATTCTGAATTTCTCTCTGATTTGAAATCGAATGCTTATTCCACTTGAATTCAAGTAACTTTCTAGAGCCTAACTCTTCCATCTCACTCCTATTTTTCTATTCTCTCTTTTCATAATAGTACTCTACTTTGTGATGTTAGGAAGAACTCTGATTTTTGGTTAGCATCTCTGGTTAAAACATTAAGCTTTCCTCTAAATCTCATGAAAAACTTAGTTTTAAAAACCTATTTCTAGGTAAGGGAAGTTGATCCTAAACTCTAAGTTCTATTTTTATACTTTAACTTGAAAAATCCATAATACCCCATTTTTAATAATAGATGTGAAGTATTTTTTTTAAAAGTATAATGTTAAAAGTAGATTTTTTGCCATGAAAACTTATAGTTTGATTTAAGAACCACCTAAATTAGAATTTTATGATAACAATTATGAACAAGCAATGTTTTAAGAAGTTTTTATAGGCAAGTTACTCATTATATTTATATATATGTATTGCTGACATTGTAAACTATTTTTTTTTTAATAATATATGTGTTAGATGATGAAAAAATAAGAAATGTTAAACTTTAGGCTAGAAGACTTTATTAAAATCGAGAGAGTGTGATCTATGATAATATACGTATGAATTGTGTGATTGGTTAAGTCTAAAGGTATTCAACCTTCGATACATTGTATTGAATTATATGACGATATGTTTCTTTATTTCATCAATATGTGCTTAAATGAGATGTTTGACTGTTATAAAAAGTTGATGATGCATGATTGATTGATCTAGCATGACCAAAATGTTTTCTTCAATATATGTAATGTCGACTAAGTCTGAGTGTGTTTGAATTTAGACATGATTCATTGAAATAAATGAGGAAACAAGAGATAAATGAAATTGATATAAATATCTGTGAATTGCTGAGAAAATGTAAGTAAAAGAAAAAGAGTAATTAATACGTGTGTCATAAAAACACCGGTTGATGTTATTATAATATGTGTTATAATACATCGACAAATGAGATTATAACACATATTGTAACATATTGATTAGTTAAATATTTCGAAAAGAAGTATATCTTTAAAAATATAAATAATGGGATTGTTTTAATAGAAAATAGAAGAAGAAAAAACTTGCAAAATTAATTTGGCTCCAGAAAGAAAAATCTTGCATTGTGCAAGTTTATGCCTAGTACTCAAAGCAAACTTTAAGCATAAGAAGGAAAAAACACAAAAAATGTATTCTCATATGAAATTCTAAACAAACCAATATAAATACATAAGTTAAAGATTTTTATAATGTTATTGTATAGTGTTTCTACCATTATACACTTTAAACCGTTAAAATTTTTATGTGACTTTACCTTAAGTTGTATGCAATATAAATTTATCAAATGAAGTTTTAATCTTTTTATTAACAAAATTTTCTTTAAACAATTCAAATATATTTATTCCTTTTATTAAATGAAATTAATTTCATATTTTAAATTTTCTTAACTCATATCTCTAACTTTGATAAATTAAATAACTAAATACTTAATTACTTAATTTTATTTCTTCCTTTTTTTATACACTTTTTTACAACATCGATATGTAATATATATTGACTTTAGTTGTCCAATAAATTATAAGAGATTTATATATAACTTACACTATCTTAAATCTCTTTCAACATGAATCATAATTCAAATATAAATTCAAATAATTTATTTATAAATAAAAATATTTTTAAATGATTTGCAATATGTTTGTGTGATCTCCTTTTACTTACTATATTTTTTATCCTAGGATGTATGTATAATAGCGTTATCTTATATCCTAAATATTACAATCTTATCAAAATAATTTTAATCACAAAATAAAATTTCTTTTATTAAACTTAATTTTAATTAATCAACTTCATAAAATATTTTTTTCCTTTCCTAAAGATACCAATTAATATTTCAATAAATAATTTTTTCCTTTAAAAAAATAATATCTTTTGTTTAAGGGTTAAATAAATATTTTTTAAAATTAAAATAAATTTGCATAATTAATTTAAGATAATTGTTATTTAAACAGATGTTATATGGTGCTAATACCTTCTCTACATGTAAACAAGTCTGAACTCATTTTTTGTTTCAAAGATCGTTTTTAAAAATTTTCTCAATGTTTTCTTTAATAAACTTTGGTAACAACTCCTTTGATTTTTGTAGAAAACATTTTATTCAAAAAAAGTATTTTTTTAAGACGTTTTTGCTGTACCATTGCAACTCTCGGTGCAACAATTAGTGTGATTTAACATATATATTAGGACAATATTGATTTCTATAAACAATATGATTTTAATGTGCCATTGTTAAATTTTCGTATGAATAGTTCAGAGATACACTGGAGGTATAGAGTCTAGAAGTGATTTGAGAAATATGAGAAAAATGAGAGTGATGAATGCTAATAGCAGATGTGTACATAATTAATAGTGAAAGCATTCACATGCCTCACACTTATTTCCTCATTAAACCCTTAACTATACCTTTGATATGAATGCAGTATAACGCACACATTGTATCCGTGTGTGGTGGCTGACCGACGACTATACATACTAGCATAAGTCCTAAAAACTAGGAATAGTATGTTAGCAGCGATGTAGGAGCCCGTGAATACCTAAAGTATCATTATTTGATAAATCTTTCAGAATTGAAATGTACAAAGTGACGAGTTCAAGGATTGAGTGATTGTAATTGATTAAATATGAAATGATGTGTATGAATAACTTTTGTCTGTTAGAATTGTAAAAATAAATTATTTCTATTTTGATGTAAGATGTATTAGAAAATATTTTCTACATTACTTTGATTGTATTATGAAATGAAAATTTAATAAGGCAGATGATGCTCACCCTTTAAACATTTTCAGGTAATGAAGAGATAAAAAAAGATTGATTCGTTTTAAGATTATACTCACGTTGAACTGTAAAGAAAAAAACTACTCTATGAAGATTTAAATTATTTTAAAAGAATATAATAATATTGGTTAAGTTTTCATTTAGATATAACGTAGAAATATAAATATTTCAAATGTTAATTTTAAATTTATAATATTTTAATCAACCTTATTATAAATAATAATTTAAAGTGTATGTATAATATTTAGTAGTTAATTACTTTAAATTTCAATTTATACTCAGCTTTAGAGATCTAATTTGCTTAAAGACAAATTTGTTTATATTATAATCCTATATTATATAAATATATAACATGAAATTTCAGCTTTTACTCCATTTAAGAAATTGAATTGTAAAAATTACATTTTCATTTATGTTATCAACGAGATTTATATATATAATTTTTACCAAAAATTTTCTATACCATTTTCTATTTCAATCTAGTTTTATTAAGAATTACATGTTTAATAAAGAAAAATATTTAAATTATAAATAAGGCGTTACATGTATAATGTGATTGATGCACCACTTATTTGGTACTTTTTTGAGGATATAATAATCATAATTTATATTGATAATTAGAATTGCATTAAGAAATGCTTCAAGTAAAAGTGTAAAGATTTGTTTGATGGTCAAGACAAGAGTGGATAGATTAGAATAACAATCATATTTGTTCTTAATTAATTGTTTGTTGAGCCATAAAAATTAAATTAATTTATCTTGTTACCTATCCTATTATATTGAATTAGTGTAATTGTTGTTCTCATAATATAATTGAACTAGAAGAGAAAAGAAAGAATATCAATTATTTTCTCAAAATATCTTTAATTTATTATATTACCCCCCTCTCTCTCTCTCTTCTCTCTATTTTTAAATATTTTTAAAAATATATTAATAATTAAAAAATATATTAATTATTTTTATATATTAATTATTTTTATATATTTTTTAAATTAAATTTTTTTTAAATAATTAATATATTTTCTATGAATTAAAAATAAATAAATTAGAAAAATAAAAAATAATAAAAAAATAATAAAAAATTAATTTAATAAATATAAACAAGATGGTGATTTTGTCATTTTTTACATATTTTTGTCATTTTTTTATCATGTCAGCATTAAACACTGGGTATAATAAAAATTTATCGTGCTAATACCATATCCTATTCCTGTTCAACCCTGTTATCCTATCATATCCACCAAATGGACCCTAAAGTTTTTCCTCCTTTCCTTAATTCAATTTGTCTTTAAAGAGAATAATTGGTCTTAATAATGACTAGTTTGTGCATTTCTTCAGAATGATTCAACGAACTAAAGTTACAGGCTGCACACCATTCCATGCATTGTTGTCTACATCAAGTTCTTCCATTTTTTGGTGTTGGCTGTCTTGTAAAAGACTAACACCAGACCATATTCCACGGATTAATAAGATGCTTACAAACATTACACTTCAAGTGTGCATACTACCTGCATTGAACTATACTAAATGCATCAATACCAAAATGTTTAAGGTAGAACAAATGCAGAAGAAATCAGTAAGTGTTTTGCTATATCCCCTGAAATATTCTCTTCATAATCCTCTTCCTACTTTATAAATTATTAAATGAAAAGTGTGTACATTTGTTGTCATGAAAACGTGAAAAGCACTTAATAGTTTTTCCATTTAATAATTAAGAAAATTTATAGGCATATAAGGTAGGAAATTTAGAATTATTCAATCCGTATATAGAAGCCCCAGGTAGCTCTAAAAGCCAAAATCCTGAGCAACTAAGAGTCCAGTACAAGAATTCATCTACTTTACACTCACTGCCAAAAAATCAACTGGCAAAATCAGAACCGTTGCATCCTAACATATACTGCCTGGTCTGCATAACCTTGTGCCACATTTTATACATCACTTTTGCAGTGAGATCATTGACCGTATATATCTCACCTTATTTTTTCTAAAATTAAAATAATGTTAATGAAAACAATCTACGAACGTGAAAGCTTTGACAAAGTCAAACTCTTGGATTATGAATTTTCATGATACCATTGTTTATGATTTCTCATGTTTTGTATATGGTGCTTTGAGCAGCAGTAGCCCAAAAATCAGGTAGAATCCTTTTCTGGTCAGTAATAAAAGCTTGGAAAACAAATGTAGAAAAGGTAAACTCACAAAAATGCTATCGTATCAAATGTAACAATCTCAAAACTACAATGTCGAAAATCACCACGATCATCATTAAATACCCAAAAGAAATACCCCTATGCTAAGCAGAAAATATGTCAAAAGGTCAAAATTCCACAAATGGCATTCAATAATGATGTTAACAATGTTCATGGCCATTTTAAATGAATGAAAACAATACCTCAAGAAATGCCTTCGAAACCCACAAGAACGCCAGCACCAGGACCCCGTTAACAGAAAATCCCACCGGCATCAAAAGCGATGTTGAATCTTCGAGATAAAAAATCCACACTTGCACATTTTCTATTAATGTGGAGATAGGCATAATCATAACTTGCAACTATGAATAAACAAAGCTGGAAATTTTAAAGCAAACTAACTAAATATGGCGCTATTAATAAATTGACTTCAACAGGTGCATATATATTTTTGAAGCAGAACATCAAGAGTAAATATCCAACGTACAGACAGAATATAGCTAAATTTGTCTGAGCATGTGGAATGAAAATCACATCACAAAAAAAAACATGCAAAAAGCGACAAGAAGTGAAAATCTCACTCCAACAGGGATAGTCCTACCAATTGTGCTGAGATGGGGAAAGGGAGAACGGATCCAACTGCTTTCCTTTTGCTCTCTTTGAGACTTTCAACACATTCTGAACGAACCTCCCCAACAGATCCAAACTCCGTTCCTCATCGTTTTCATCGTCGCACGTGCGCGGAACATGCGCCAAATTCTTTCTTCCCTGAAACAAACTGGATTTCAATCACAATAGAATCTCGCATAAAGGAAGATCGAATTCATGAAAATTGTGATGTAGGACCCTGTAAAGAATAAGATAGGAGCCGTTGAAATTCTGTTGTAACTAACCTGTTATAAATAACAGGTTCAGCTAGGATCCATTCATTCAGTTTTGTAAATCATTTCTTGTAACATCATTCTTTCAATAAAAAAATCAGTTCGGTTGCCATTCTTCCATTGGAGACCCTACAATTCTTAGCTTTCCTTCGTGTTCTGAGTATCACCTAGATTAGCTACAACAATTGGTATCAGATTTTACCTTCCAACCACAATTCCGCAATGGCCGACAACACTCGTGCACAATCCCTTGTTCGCGAAGCTGAAGAACGCATCAATGCAAAGCTTGGAGATCACGACCTTCATCTAAATGTGAAAATTGATACGTCGGATGCGAAGATCGATGGCATGGAGGAACGTCTCAGGACTGCAATCGAAGAACAAATCATGGCGTTAGGAGCAGCTTTACGGGCGCCACCTAGGGATTCTCCTCGACATTCTTTTTCTGCTAATCTGGGTAACAATTCTCGACCCTATTCATGCAATACTAGACTAGCACGCTTAGATTTCCCAAGATTCAATGGCGATGGAATCAAGAATTGGATTATTCAATGTGAAACGTTCTTCTCTATTGATCATACTCCTGTTGAATACAAAGTTCGATTAGCGGTGGTTCACTTCGAGGGAAAAGCCCTTCTTTGGTATAGTGCTTATGTTAAGAACATTGGCCTCGAGAATCTGCCTCTCTGGGAAGATTTCACCGACGTTCTGATAAATCGTTTCAGAGATGTGTGTGAAGACCCAATGGCTGAGCTAATGCAGCTAAGACAAAAAGGATCAGTTGCAGATTATCATGAGGAGTTTGATGGAATAGTTTCCAGGGTGAAATTATCGGAACCTAATCAACTCAGTTGTTTTTTAGGGGGCTTAAAACAGGATATCCAAATGATGGTGAGGATGTTTCAACCCACATCTGTTATGAAAGCCTTTTCTTTGGCTAAAATGTATGAAAATGCTCACTCAGCCCCTTCTCAACAGAAATCATTTTCCAAACCATTTAAGCCAACACTTACCCAAAAACCACAATTATTACCTACACCCTTAAAACCAGCAGAACATACTAAGCCAAAAACACACACCACCAGAAACTTGACACCTGCATTTATGGCTGACAGAAGAAGTAAAGGGCTGTGTTACTTCTGTGATGAACCGTTCACCCCAGCTCATGGCTTGACACATAAGACATTGCAGATACATGTGATGGAAGTAGAGGATGAAGGCTTACCTGATGTAGATTCACTGGATACTGTTGATGATAGTATAGAAGAGCAAATAGATCCACTGATTTCTGTTAATGCATTGACTGGCCTGTCCAATTTTAGAACTATGAGGGTGACAGGACAGTATAGGAAGAAACCCTTGCATATCTTGGTTGATAGCGGTAGTACACATAATTTCCTGGATGTGCATGTTGCTAGGAAATTGGGATGCAAGATTGAAGGTATGGAGGCTGTGAGTGTGACAGTAGCTGATGGAACCAAAGTTCAAGTTGCTTCAGTAGTCAGAAACTTTAGATGGTACCTGCAGAACAGTTCCTTTTGTTGTGACATGATGCTTCTACCACTCGGCTGCTGTGACATGGTCTTAGGTGTGGAATGGTTAGTTAGTCTAGGAGATATTGTGTGGAATTTTGATAAGCTGACTATGGAATTTGGAGTCCTAGGAAAAAGACATGTGTTGAGGGGCTCTACTTCTTATGGTCTTAAGACAATTAGGAAGCAGCAGTTCCATAAGACCTTGTCTTCTGGAGTTCACTTATCCATGCTGCACTTGTACAACACCCAGGAGGATATACTACTGCATTCCCTATCCACTCATTCTGAGTCACTTGAAGTCCCTACCAGTATTGAGGAGCTCCTGCAGCATTTTTCTGATCTGTTTGAAGAGCCTACAAGCTTACCACCTAGAAGAGCAGAACATGATCACAGAATTCCTTTGGCTCAAGGTACAAATCCTATCAATAAAAGACCTTATAGGTATGCCAAACAGCAGAAGGACATCATAGAAGCATTGATCAAGGAATATATTAGGTCTGGGATGATTCAGAACAGTAGCAGTCCTTACTCAAGTCCTGTGGTTCTAGTAGGAAAAAAGGATGGTAGTTGGAGGTTGTGTGTTGACTATAGGGATTTGAATAAAGCTACTGTCAAGAACAGATTTCCCATACCCCTTGTAGATGATTTGTTGGATGAGCTTCATGGGTCAACAATCTTTTCCAAGATTAACTTAAGGGCTGGTTACAACCAAGTGAGAATGGCAGATGAGGATGTCTTTAAAACTGCTTTTAGGACACATTCAGGGCACTATGAGTACTTAGTCATGCCCTTCGGTTTAACTAATGCCCCTGCAACTTTTCAGGGCTTAATGAATGCTGTCTTCAAAGACTACTTACGGAAGTTTCTGTTGGTCTTTTTTGATGACATACTGATTTATAGCAAAAAGTTAGAGGCTCACTTGGTTCACTTACACACTGTTTTGGAGACCATGAGAGCGAATGCCTTGTTTGCCAAGAGGTCAAAATGTTACTTTAGAGTTACAAGGGTGGAATATTTGGGACATTTCATTACTGGAGAAGGAGTCTCCACTGACCCAGCTAAGGTAGCAGCAGTCAGAAATTGGCCACTGCCTCAGTCCATTAAGCAGTTGAGAGGATTTTTGGGCTTAGCGGGATATTATAGAAGGTTTGTGAAGAGGTATAGCACCATAGCCAAGCCACTTACAGATATGTTAAAGAAAGATAGTTTCTGTTGGAGTGAAGAAGCTAAGGTTGCATTCCAGTGTCTCAAAGACCAGCTGAGTCAAGCTCCAATATTGGCATTACCAGATTTTGAGAAGGCCTTTGTCGTGGAGGCTGATGCTTCAGGTATATGGGTGGGAGCTGTGCTCATGCAAGATCACCATCCAATAGCATTTGTGAGTAGGAATTTGAACAAACAGCAACAAAGCTTGTCCACTTATGAAAAGGAACTATTGGCAGTAGTATTTGCAGTTCAAAAGTGGAGGCATTATCTGCTTCCTAAGCAGTTTGTGATCAAAACTGATCATAGAAGCCTTAAGTATATATTGGACCAGAAATTATCAACAGCCTTCCAGCAGAAATGGTTGATAAAGTTAATGGAATTTGATTTTATCATTGAGTACAAGCAGGGCAGTGATAATATAGCTGCAGATGCACTCTCCAGAGTAGAATGTGCTGCTATCACTACCATGGAACCTGATTCTGGTCTCTTGGAGAAAATCAAGATCTCATGGCAGGAGGATGTGGATTTACATAAATTAATTGCTGAGATACAAAAGGATCCTGCTACTCACAAGCAATTTTCTTGGTCAAGAGGGGAATTAAGAAGGAAGGGCAGGCTGGTTATTGGCAAGAATGCTGAATTGAGAAGGCAGATACTGGAATGGATGCATTCATCTTCTTGTGGTGGTCATTCAGGGAGGGATGCCACTTACCAAAGAATCAAGGCAGTAGTCTATTGGAAGGGTTTGTCTAAAGATGTTAGGAGGTTTATCCATCAGTGTGTCACTTGTCAGCAATGTAAGTATGATAAAGCTGCTTCTCCTGGGTTACTTCAGCCTCTCCCTGTACCTGATTTGATTTGGCAGCACATTACCATGGATTTTATAGAGGGACTCCCTAATTCTTATGGGAAGCAGGTGATTTTTGTAGTTGTAGACAGATTGAGCAAGGCTGCTCATTTTATGGCACTGCAGCATCCTTACACAGCAGCTAATGTAGCTCAATGCTTCATTGACAATGTCTTTAAGCTTCATGGGTGGCCAGCTTCCATCACAAGTGACAGAGATCCTGTTTTTACTAGCCAATTCTGGAGAGATTTCATGTCATATCAAGGGATTCAGGTTCAGTTGTCTACAGCATACCACCCACAAACTGATGGACAGTCAGAGGTGGTAAATAGGTGTATAGAAACTTATCTGAGGTGTATGTGTGCAGATGATCCGAAGCAATGGTCAAAATGGCTACCATTGGCTGAATGGTGGTATAATTCAACTTACCACAGTACCATTAAAGCCAGTCCTTATGAAATTGTGTATGGACAATTGCCTCCAGCCTATCTCCCTTACTTACCAGGGGAATCAAAGATTGAATTGGTTGATAGGAGCTTGCAGAAGAGGGAAGAACAGTTGAAGTTGGTAAAGTTTCACATGAAGAGGGCACAAGAGCGAATGAAACAGCTAGCTGACAAAAAGAGGTCTGATAGGTCCTTTAAAATTGGGGATTTGGTTTTTATTAAACTACATCCCTACAGACAGATTTCAGTTGCTTATAGGAGTAACACCAAATTATCTCCTAAATACTATGGACCCTACTCTATCCTAGATAAGATAGGAGTTGTGGCCTACAGGATCCAATTACCAGCAGGAACTTCAATCCACAATGTTTTCCATGTCTCCCAGTTAAGGAAGTTTGTGGGTGATGCTAATACTTCAGTTCAGTGTCCAGCTACCGATGAAGAAACTATGATTAAAGAACCTGAAGCAATATTAGACAGGATGACAGTGAAGAGAGGGAACCAAGGGGTGACTAAGGTGTTGGTCAAATGGAAACATTCACTGCCCGAAGATGCGACATGGGCATTCCTTTTTGATTTGAAGAAGAAGTATCCTCAATTCAATCCTTGAGGTCAAGGATTTGTTTAAGAGGGGAGGATTGATGTAGGACCCTGTAAAGAATAAGATAGGAGCCGTTGAAATTCTGTTGTAACTAACCTGTTATAAATAACAGGTTCAGCTAGGATCCATTCATTCAGTTTTGTAAATCATTTCTTGTAACATCATTCTTTCAATAAAAAATCAGTTCGATTGCCATTCTTCCATTGGAGACCCTACAATTCTTAGCTTTCCTTCGTGTTCTGAGTATCACCTAGATTAGCTACAACAAATTGCACCTTAGACACACACAAATTGGAGTCGTGTTGACTACAACTAGACGCATGTTGGGTAGGAAAAGCTATTCGGTAAGCACGAAAGAACAGAAAACGAGAATTATGGGTAAAGGAGCGAAACAAAGGAAGAGTAGATGATTTAACTGTCACTGCGAATGACATAATTTCATCCCCCTCAAACATAAACAAAATTAACGCAAGTAAAATATTTATATGGAATATGCTTATAGTAACGTATTTTTGTGCATAAGTTTTCGTACCGCATTCTATACTCATGCCATAAACTATGTTCTCCCATTATTTAAATAAAATGTGATCACTCATTAAAATAGTAATATGCATTCTTATTTTCTCAAGTGGAGGAGGGGCAAGAAATGCTTGGGGAGAGCTTGTGATTTCCACTATAGTTTCTACGTTTAGGAAACACAGCTATGATTACAATGAATTCTTGATTGTTATGATTACATTATGACACGGAAACACAGCTCTATCTTCACGTGAGAAGCGAAGGGGATATTCTAGTTCTAGTGAAAAGACGTAAAATGAAAATACATAATTATAGATACCTAGTGAGATGTGAAATACATGTACATCATGATCATGATCATGTGCAAACACATCATTTACATTTACATTTCACCCCTGAAAAATGGAGCACTGAGGAATGAAGTGGAGAATGTCCCTCCGCTATTAGGGAAAAGTGTGAGAAAACAGATGAGGCCAAGGACAACGCCCCAAGCAAATCTGCTTTCCCCAATAGGGGTGATCTCATCTTTTGCGGGTATTTCTTCGCCGCCCCGAAAGAAGGTTGCAAACAATCCCCATGCCAAGCACAGGACACTACCACTGAGGCCACCAATACCAAGTAACAACGAAGTGGCAAAAGATAAGAGCGTAGCAGTGCTTCTGCCAAACATGGCTTGAGCAATGCGACCACCTTCTAGCCTCCCACATGGCAACAAGTTCAAAGAAGTCACCACCATTCCTGCATCAGCATCAAATTGTTTGGGCATCTTACATCCATAATTGGGTCAATTTCTCACCCAATAAAATATAATATAGAATCAAAATATGCTACTATCATTATTCACCTACAAGTTTAGGCCAAGGCAATGGCTAAAATTTGGCAAGGAAAAACTTGTAAAAAGTCAATGGTGTTACTTATACACTGGCAACAGAAGCGTTCTAGATGGTAAGGTTACAAATAATTGCTAGTTTCCTACAAGTGAAAACTGATGAATAATTGCTAATTTTAACAATTGCCATAACTTGTATCAAATTCAGCTTCAGTCAAACAAGTAATATGGATTTTTTAAAAATTATTAGATGATTTTTTTCATTTTTCAGAAAGGAGGGACAAAGTCAGGAAATCTAAACAAACCCACCTAAAAGCCCAGCAAATGCAAGCGGGTCAACAGGAACTCCAACACCTTCCACAGCATAAGGCAATACATTTCCAAGATCATCCGCGTAAGGCCCAATAACTAATTGGATGAAAGAAAGCAAGGGATTGTTGTAGAAAAATTGAGGTCGTATGTACCTGCAAAAGGAATAAGTAGTACAAGGTGATGATCACGAGAAATGATGTCCATCCAGCATTTAACCCTTATTATGTTCACGTAAATATTAATCAAGCTTACTTTCCTTTACTTTTCTTTTTGACAAAAGAAACACACACACACACATTAATAGGAAAGAGTAGTGCTTCTCAAGGAGGTATTATATACAGCACTTACAATGCATTATCGCCCCCATTAAAGCTTCCATCAGCCACAAATGCAGCAACAACAAGCACTAATGAAGTTAAATATGCACTAGCAGTACGGGCTACAGGAATATCAAAAAGAGCTTTCTTGCTTGGAAGGAGTGATTCATAATTATTCATCACTCCTAAGCACCCTGTCCAATTAGATGGCACCAGGAAAGAAGGGCTGAGTTTGACACCATAACGAGCTGCCGTTAACCTGGTGGCTATCTGCACAATCAAAAGAGTACAGCCATATAACAAAATGTTAACCCGGTGGCTGTCTGTACGAAATGAGCATGATACAAACAACAAACAACAAACAACAACCACCAACATGGATCACACAATCATGCGTATAATACAGTCGCAAAAACAGTGTCCACAAAAGTTTATGAGATAATTGGCATGAATACGCAAACATAAACACATACACCAGTCTGTTGTTTGGAGATTTGTCTTTTTAGAGAATGTTTGTTTATTTTTAAAAAGAGTTTTCTCTTTTTAAAAACAAAAAAATATACTAATTTTTTATTTTTCTTTAAAATTCTTTTTAAAAATAAAACAAATATGCTCTTAAATCACTAAAAACCCCAAACATAGGAAATTGTGCAACTGCTATTCTGCCTCTTAAAGATGACAAGGGCTGAATTTTCTATAAAATTGCAATAAAACTTTTTCAGATTATCATTAAGGGCACGCAAATCAGAACTTATAATATGGAATAGACTGCCATATATGGTAGGAATATTGAAATTTAACTTACCTCAGAAACTCCCAGAATAGATAAGAATCCACCAAATAGAGGCACAACATTAGCTAGATAGTCGTCAAATGTAGCATCAGGTTTCCGGAAGAAGCCACTCATCAAAGCAACTGTTCCAAAGGTAGTAACGGCTAATGCAATTGCACTAAAATAGCCCAAAGGATTACTCAACTTAGTTGACTCAAATTGGAGATCCATTTCTGCTTTGGGTTGCACCACACAAGCCTGAATAAAGATACATTAATGATTCACAAAAGTGGAAGACTGAGCAAAGCACTCAAAGCATGTTCCTCCGCAGACCCTTTCATTGCTTAAATTAAGAGATTTAAGTGATCCAATGCAGTTGGCTCAATTTTGTAATTTTGCCGTTTTATAGAAGTGGAAAACTGACATAGAAACCAAGAATTTAGATATTGATGTGGTGAGTGCTAGATATGATCTGAAATGGATAGGGACGTACCTGTTTGGTAATGTCATTCGTTTTTTCTTCCATGAACCAGACCACAACCTCCCGGCCAGCTGCATCAGAGAGTTTCTTCTCCAACTTGGGAATGACTTCATCAATGGGTCTCCTGAGATTGCCAATGAAAATGCCTCCATCTCCAAATCTCCGAACATCCGTTGCGAAGAAGGTGTCAAACCCAAAGCAACTCTTTAACTGAAGGAATAAGGCCAAAGTATTGAAGTCCAACAAAAGAATAGGAGCATAAAATTAATAGAAATATTGAAACGACATGATAAAGGAAGTGACCTTGTTGAGATCAAGAGCCTTGAAAGTTTCCTCAGCCTTTTGCAGCCTCTCCTTTTCCCTGAGCAAGTTATCACGCGCTAAGTTGTTGAAAAGAGCGAAGAAGGGGTTGCTGTTGTTGGTTTCCCTGTCGAGGTCCTTGAGCTTCCGATCAGCTCTCTTCTTCTCGAGTTTGATGGCGGCTTCGATAGAAGGGTTGCCCATGAACTTCTTGAACTCCTCGTCCGTCTTCCAATCCACTTCCTGTTGGGCCTCAGAATCAGAATCGTCATTGTTGGGATTCTCAGGAGGAGGGGTAGTAGCAGTAGGAGAGGAGTGAGTTTCTTGGTCGTCTTTGAGGGAGGAACTGCACCTCAGGGAAGCGCGTTTGGAACAGAGAGAAAAAGAGAGGGTGTGGTAGTTTGAAATTGAATGAAGCGGGAATAGGAAGTTAGTGGTCTTTCTGTCAGTGTTGAGAAAAGCAGTGAATGAGGAAAGAGCGGAAAGAGTTGCCATTGCCATTGGAAGATACCATGATGGAAATGGAATGGAACGAGAGAGAGAGAGTATTGATGTTGAAGAAGGGAAATCCAGAAGGTTTGAGAAGTTAACAGTGTCCAAGTGAAAGTGACAGACCCCACCTCACACTCCCATCGTCCGCCGTGTGGTTTTCGGATTCCGATGGAGACGCTCCATACGTTGTTTTTCGATTCCGGATAAGGTGCTTTTTATTGCTGCCAGCTGCCCTCCTTCTTTTCTTATTTTCCTTCGTTTAAACATTTTTTTTTCTTCTTTCTCACTCTTTTTTTTCAACCAAACAAATCATAAAAATAATCCTCGTGTTAATAATCCAAATTGCATGTATTAGGTATTTCAATTTTTTAATTTGTTTAGGGTTTTAAAGACTAAATTAAAAAAAAATCTATTACACTAATGAACTATTGTCGAAAAAAATGTTATTGGGATAGATAAAAATAGGAAGAAGAAAATAAAAGTAAAAACTTTTTTACTTGTTTTTATAAGTAAAAATTATTTATAATAATAATAAACTTATTTTAACTCAAAAAAATTGTTATAATGTATTTTATTAATAAAAAAATTTTAAAAAATGTTTACTTGTTCCCTTCTCTCACTTTCTTTTAAATTGGATTTTTAATTGGACCCCACGTGCTATAATAATTCCCTCTTTTATGTATATGTGTGTATGTATACGTATATATTCCTACTTCTAAACACAGGTTTCAACCGTTCCCCTTATTTTTTTTCCCCACCATCCAAGTAGACTTTAAGTTATTTGAGGTCCAAATTATTTTGACCTCAATGCTTCAATCGAGTGTGACCACCTCTCAATGTTTATACCATTAATAGAATTAAAAACATAGATATACGTTCATGCATTTACATACTTTGTTTAGCATGTTTTATTGTGATAAAAATATTAAATTAGTGGTTATCTATTTTAAAATTCAATTATAAACAATTGAATTAAATTAATTTTAAGTCATCAAATATAACCGAAATATGCTTATAGATTAATTTAAATTATGTGTTTATGTTTAAATATGCATTTTTGTCAAAAACTGATAAAATTAATTTTTTTAACCGTCAATAGTTATGGAGCTATGAACACACTGTGCATGGTCCTCAAAACATAAAGCATAGTACAATGTGCTATACATTAAGATTGTGTAAATTCTTGAGCTGATCAAACCTCGATTCAACTAATTTAACAATCCAAGTAAGAACGGGTGTAGAGTGAAATTGAAGTTAAAATTTTTGTCTATATATCCGGCTGAAATAGAACCTTGATTAAACCATCCCAACTCAACCCATGAACTCCATAACATGAAAATCAACATGAGTCAAAGTCTGAGACTTTTCTAAAGGATTATCAAAATGAGGTACCTGTGAAGCTTAAATCTCTTAAGTGTCAGTTAGGCTAGAGACAAAATCCTTAATTATTTTGAATGCTTATACATTCAACGGTGGTGTTAATTGAATAAGCCTGATTATGTAAACCAAGCTTCATAAGAGAGTGTGCTTTCTATGAACATGGGCTAGTTAAAATAAATCAATTGTTTCCATGAGAATGTCATCCATTATTGAATCTCCTATCTCCATGTGTATCTCGCAATTTACAAAGTGGAAGCTTTTCCAGTCTTCTGATAAGATACAGGATTCTGTAGGCAACAGACGGGTGATCTATTTAACTTTTCTATATTGTTTCTCCAAGAAGCTAAAATGCTCATGTATGATGCTTTGAAGGTCTTCAGACTCCGAAACTGCTTTGGTTGATAGACTTTTACCTTCATTTTTATGAAACTTTCTGTCTTTTTCTACGTAGTCAAACGATACTTGCTTTCTCATCCATAGGGTCCTTCTATTTCTTCGGCACAAAGAAGTCGTCTCAACTATCCCTTGTAGTGTGGCTTTTTTCGCACGTCTAAATCTCATAACATTTGAGTTCACCAGTAGCTTTCTCATATAGTCTCTAACAAGTTTTTGGGACAAAGTCAGAAGAGGTGTTACCTGGCCTTTTCGACTTTTTAGGCGACACACTGTTCCATCAAATAAAATAATGCTAATTAAAATACACGCTGATTTTTTTAAAAGGTGAATACATTATATTTTTTTTAGATATATATAATTTAAGGAATTTTTCTAAGTAATATTGTACAAGATGAAAATTTATATAAAGTAAACTTTCATAAAAAATGGTAGTATTTAATATTATAAACTTATTATATATAACCTTTTATCCTTTTGCAATATTGCACAGGTTAACTTACACTTTCTTCTCTTCTTAAATATAAATGTGACGCACTTACACTTTAATTCTTTTTAATATAAAATAGACTTCTTAATGGGAGTGAAGAATTATAAACCTATGAATATTTTAAATATATACTTTTTTCTTAAAATAAAAAGAAAAACTATAATTTAAGCATCTTGAGGAAATAAAATGTAATTTAATACTTTTTCCCTTTCTGATCTCAGTGAAAATTTTGAACCTGCATTGGTTAATGGTTGTTGCCATTCTGATCCTCTGCTGTACTGCTGCCTGTTCTCTTTTGAGCTTATCAAATATGGTTTGGTTCCTGTATCAACCTGTTAGCTTAATGAGAGAGCTTGCTTAATTTATAGATGATAATGAAATTGTTGTTGCATATATTATACACTAACACTAATGTGATATGAGTACGAATTTGCTGCTGTTGTTTCCAAAATGTATTGTGGTTGCATAAAGGAATCCCTTACCTTTGATCTTCTCAATCTGGGGAGTGTGAATGTCTGAAGCATGTCCACAAGAGTTGAGCTGTGGCTTTCAAACGGTAAAACCTTGTCCCCAACATCATGGTTAGTAAAATGATCAGGCACAGCTACTGTTTTCAGTGAATCATTTTGTTGAGTTGCCTGTGTCCCTGCAGTTATTTCATGCACATAATATCGATCACTGTTATGCTCTTCGTCCCAGCTTGAGAACTCGTGGTTATCATCTGTGGGAATGAACTTGTATAATAGCGATCTTAGGACCCCTGTAGCATGTAAGAATCTTTTCCTTATCTTGTGTAAATCACATTTGATCGACCACTTTAGATTCTTTGCTGAATAAAGGTGGGGAATGCTGCTACTGTCAGAGCTGAAGTTCTTGAACATGTAACTTCTTTCAGTGAGGTAATTTTGCAATGAAAAAGGTTCTTGATTGTGTTGGAGATGTTCTTTTAGCTGTTTTGCAGATGGTCGCTTGTAAGTATCCATTGGAAAGACCAAAAAGTGGTAAAAGAGAAAAGATGTTTAAACCGTGAATATGTGACTTTTTGAAGAAAGATGAAGAGCACGAGTGGAAACTAATGGAACATTCGTGTCTTTGACAATGGGCTCACAGTAGAGTTGGAGTGCCAATAAATTTGAAATGGTGGAAGGGTGGAGCGTAAGAGGGAGGGTAAAGCAAAGGGTTGGTAGAGTGGGAAGAGACATTCATATACAGCAAATATTTTATTTGACCGGTAAACAGAAAGCTAAAGGTTGGCTTCATGGTAATCGATTGGTGGTGCCAACATGTTTGATGTATGCAATCTCTTTTATTGCACTTTGTTCCTTCCAGCTTATGAGCTGCATATACTACAGGACATTCTAATTCTAATGGCTTTCCCTTTTCACTTTTGGATGTTGTGTCAATCTTTTCGTATTTGGTTTCGTAGATGAGGAAGGCCCTTTTATTATTCTGCCATGTCCTTTTCTATTTCCTTTTCTAAAATCAGAAAATAAATATGGAATTGATCATGTGGGTGGGTCTTTGACTGGGCAATAGTCATATAACTTTTTTACTTTATTCCTTTGGCAAAAGCAAGAATGATATAAGTTATAGGCATGGGGAAGTCATGTTTAGGCATCCAATACATTGTTTCCTGACTTGTTAAGGAGAGTTTAGGTTTAGCCTTCAAAGGCGGGCAAAGTGCATTATTTTAAAAACTAAAAAAATGGCACATTCCCAAACCTCTTTATCATAAATCATAATAGTGTTCTTGGTAAGCAATTATTATTTCGGAAAAAAGTTGATAGGTACATTGCTGTGTCAGTACAAGCAAGCTCACGTCAACAAATAGCCCAATTCAGCTTTTTTAAAATATAATAATAAAGTTATTTGAAGTTCCGGAAAAAAAATATATCTGAAAATCGCCTTTGGTAACCTTTTTGCTGCTAGAGGTACCATTTTGCGTTAGCCTTAAGATAATGCTTGTCCTTCTATGCAGTTGAATACATCTCAGTATTCAGCTGCTTCTGACATCTGAAGCTGAAACTATAATCATTCACTACAACCTGAATTGGCTGTTTTATGGTACAGTCATTGGCATGCCCGACCCTCATCTTCTCCTCTAATTCTGTGTTCATTTCTGTCATAAAAGATAATCACTATCTATTCGTCTTCATCATTTTAGTATATGTTTAGTTCACCAGTAATCACTCATGACAGATTATGCTTTTAACCAGTTGAAGTCCCTTTAAGAATATATTATTAATCAAAGCTAAACTATATCAAATGGGATTAATGGTACATAATAGAGAGTCCATCATGTCCAAGAGTTTTCTAGTGAAATTGAGCACATTAATTTTTGTTTAAAGTTTCAGCTCAAGAGCATCTCAATTTTGTTCATGGGGAATCATCTCATGGTTCTACCACTTTTCTTGTGGTATCTTTCATCATTATCTAACTGGTTTGTACAATTAGTCTTTTTTTTGCACTTACATGTATCATTCCTGATTCTTAACAGCAATAAGTGTCTGATATTCTTATTCATAATGAGATGGAACTGCAATCACAGGAAGTGCACAGCAATGCACAGAAATTATCACAAAGTTTCGTACTATTGGATATTAGTTTGCCAATTGCCACGAACTCTACTAGTAACTCGTGATCATTTACAGTCGCCACAGCCTGTGATCAAAAGATTCAAAACGCAAAGCAATAATGAGAAATTGAGTACCTCTGCGTGCCCAATGAGATGCAAACTTCAAACAACAAAGGGAATTCAGAATTAAGTATTGGGAGCCACGGTACTTATGGCATGTTTGTAGCATATGAATCTTATTCTCATCGCTAGTTTGACTGAAAGTATATATTTTTTCCTTTCTTTCACTAAAATATATATAATACTCCTAACAAATGTGCTGTTAAGAAAAAACACTGAACTGATATAAGAAATTTTGATTCTTTTAGAAAA